GCCACCCTATGATGGTCAGAAAATCGCTGTCGACAACGGTTGCAGGTATATGAGAATGACAGCCAGACATAGGCAAGACACCCAGAGGCTAGTCAGAGAGCTCGACGTCGAGCGGCCACTGATCTAAGACATGCTGTTCGTACAGCAGCTCGTCGTCTTCCCCTGCCTGACTGTCTGGCAGCGGGGGATTGCAGGCGCGGATGGGCGAGGCGATGCGAGATGCAAATCGTCGTGTGCGAGCTCGGAGCAGTCTCAGCCCCCAAGAGAAGGAATGAGCGCTTCTGCACTGACAGCAACAGCCACATCGTCGGCAGCAGGGGATCCCGCGCCGTCCTGCAGCGGCCCCTCCTCGCCCCTCCTGCCGTACGTCTCCATCCCGCCCAGCGCCTCCGTCCCCCACTTGCCGGTGCCTCCCTCGCCATGCCCAGCTCCCCTCCTCAGTTATCCCACAAACTGCGCTGCTGAGAGTGTGGCGCGAGTCACCTGTCGGCCGCCGATCGTTCTGCGGCTCCCCTGCACCACTGCAAAGAGGCATCCTAGTGACGCCAAGACGGACAGCACCGACTCACAGCACCTGGTGTTCCACAGCAAGCCGCGGACGAGGCCGCGGAGCAACCCTTTCTGTTTTCTGAGCCCGCGGCCGTCATATTCGGCTGCCCGTCGGCATCAGCCTCAGATTCAGCTGTCGCCAGAGACGAGGCTCAGCCAGCATAGCTCCTCAAGGTGCGCCCTGTTCGACACCTGCGTGAAGCCAGCGGTGTGTCCGCCGCTGCTCTACCCCGGTGTGCTTTCGCCCCGTGTCAGCCCATCGGCAGCTGCTGCCTCGCTGCTGCCCAGGTCTCCCTCCTTCAGTCACGAACCCGCCACTCGGATCGTGCCGCCGCTGCCAGACCTGTCGGCCATTAGGGAGGAGGAGCCACTGGTCATCCCGCAGCAGCCGGGAGCAGCCCACGTCGATCCCCACCCGCCACTGCTTTCGGCAAGGATGCACTGCTCGTCCTTCTCGGCCTGTTCGTCGCCGAGGGGGCCCGGTGAGCGTCAGCGGAGGTCTGGTGGTGTGAAGCCAGGTCGGTCAAGTGAGGACGTCCGCCCGAGGGGGAGGGCACAGAGGGCGACAAGCTGGGCAGAGGTGGAGATGGAGCCGGGCCAGGGGAGACACAGACAGGACATCGCCAGAACCACCACTCGATGCGTACGTGAGGCGATGAAGAAACAGCAGGGAAGCATGTGGCGCATTCGTTGTTCGCTCTTTGGTGTTGTTCAGTTGCGGTTCGAGGATGGGGGTGCCCCTGCCGCCGCTGCCGCCCCTGCCGCTGCTGCTACTCCTTCTGCTCAGTCTGTGTATCGTTCCGCTACGGTCGATCCCCCCAACCCCTTCGCGTCTCCTTCTCCTCTTCCCAATGCTTACAACAGGGCCCATACCAATCCTGAAGACAGGATGGATGGCACTCAAACGCCGCTAAGGTATACATGTATGTGTGTATGGGTGGGTGGGTGTCACAACAATACGAGAATGGATGGATGAGGGGCGGTGCGTCCACGTCATGTCAGTTCGGCTGAGGACCTCCAGGAGCATCTGGGTGAGTTGCGGCGCCGCGTCGATGCCATCAATGCCAAGAAGATGCAGGTGGGCCAGCCCAGAATGGTCATCTGCTGGTTCGTACGGTCATCTATGGGCACACATCACCTGTATGCAGGACGAGAAGAAGGCTCGTACAGCCGAGGAAACCTTTGAGAGGCGCCTGCAGGGGCAGGCCGACCGGCTCAGGGCCGTTCTCCAGGAAAAGGCAAAAACAAATATTAGGCAGGCAGCAGGCGTACAGATGCTTGTACATATCTGTCTGTGTGTGTGTATGCAGAACTATGCGGAAGAGGAAGGCCGGTTGTGGCGCCAGCGGCTCAACAAGGCCGAACGGGACAACACCTTTCTCAAAGAAGAAAACAGCACCCTCAAGGTAACAGCGCATCTCACCACACATCCCCCTGCAATCGGTGTCAATGTGTCTCCTACTACTACCGTAGCAGCGTCTCGAGGATATGCAGCATGAGCTGCGCCAGGGCGGCAGACAGATCAACGGCGTGCACATGGACGCACGTGACACAGCTGGGGTGCACAGCCAGCTGAGGGCGGCTGAGAGCCTCGTGCAGGAGCTGCAGCGCGAGAACGATTCCCTCCGCAGACAGCTGGACGCCAGCCAGGAACAACTGCAGGAGGTGTGTGTGTGTGTGTGTGTATGAGTGTCTCAGTGTGGAAGATCTCTTCACAATATATGAACTGAGGGCTCGTCTGTGTGTCTTGGTGTATGTCTCAATCAGCTTGAGGTGGTTCGGCAACAGTATATGTCTGAGAAAGTCGCGCATCAGCAGCTCAAGGCCCTTCATGACACGTACATGGGAGCATGTCTGTCTTGTCTTGTCGCATGTTTGTATGTGTGTGTGAACAAATGCAGGGTGCAGGAGGAGCTGCAGAAGACCCGCGACGAGGCCGTACGTATGAAGGCACACACGGCCCAATGATGAGATGGGTGTGTGTGCTGTGTAGGGCCGGCAGCTGGATGCTGAGCAGCGTCGGGCGAGGGGCAGCCTCAACGAGGTGCAGAGGCGAGCTCAGGAGCTGGAGGTAGGCAGCGATCATTGCCCTGGTCATGCCTATGGTCAACGTCTTTGTCTCTGTCTCTCTGTGTCTCTCTGCGTGTAGATGGAGGTGAGCCGTCTGCAGGAGACCAAGCACCAACTCGAGACACGACTGGCCGAAGCAAACAGAAAATGCGCGTAAGCACCGGAAGCCCACAAGGCCTCAAACTCGCGAACGTCCACCATGGCCGTATGCGGAGTGTAAACTTGGTTGCCTGGCTGGATCGGTCGTTTCAGTGACGACCGCGCCGAGGCGCAGCAGCGTGCCGAGCGGTTCAGCGCACAGATGCACCAGCTCGAGGCCAAGTATGCCACAACACACTCATACCGACCCAACAAGGGCCACAAGTGTGCCTTCTGTGCTCTCGCAGGTTGCTGGAGGCAGAGGAGGTCCGAGCCCAGTCAGAGGTCCGGGCGACCTCGTTGGAGATCGCCAACCTGGACCTCAAGAACCTCGTCAATGACATCAACAGCCGCAACACACGAAGAGACACCAACATGTACACACGAGAAACACACTTTTTGACAAGCACACAGCCGACCTTTCCGCCAGGTACGTGCCGTCCTCTCCCGCCCCATCCTCCCCCTCGTCCGCATCCACACAGCAGCGGCAGGGAGGCTTCTTCTCACGATTCATGTCGTCATCCAGGATATCAGCAGCCAAGAGGACCGCGAGACAGGAGGAAGAGCGCCCCTCGTCTGCTGGCGCCGCTGCTGCGGCCACCGCCCCATCGCCGAGCCCCCTCTACCGCACCTCCTACACAACGGCGAATGAGCGAGTGGGACGGGGCAGGAACGACTACCTTCTGCCCCCCGCTGCTGGTGGTGGTGCGTACCTGACGGCCTTTGAAGGGCGGATTCAGAGGCTTCAGTCTCGTGATGGGAGGAGGGGCTCGATGCCTGCCAGGGGTGGGTGGCTGCAGACTGTGGCTGACTCGATGGACAACAACCTGCTCGCACTGACCTTCGAGTAGTTATATGATTGGGAGGTGGGAGAGGGTGGGGGTGAGAGGTCTGCCTGTCTGTCTTTCTGGTTGGTGTGTTGTCTGTGTATGACGCGATTATGGAGGGTAGGCGAATGAATGTCATTGACTGAGAAGACTCGCTCGCACAGTGTGTGAACCGACGATCGATTCAACGATGGAGTGATACCAGAAATCCGTCTGTGTCGTCCATTTCACACTCACTCACTCACTCACTCAACCGACACAGGCGACGAAAGAAAAGGAGAGAGAGAGGTCGGTGTCGTCTAAGCCACGGCAGTTGCCGTCCAAAAAGCATATGAGTATTCACACAGTCAAACACACATGACAACTGTACACAGACACGACGACAAAAAGCTAGTATCCTTTGTCCTTTGTTAGCCACATCCTCATAGTCTACAACAGACCAAGCCTCGGGTCATCCACACCCTCTGCGTCCTTGGCCCGCCTCAGGTCAGCCAACCCGAATGACGGAGGAATGAACGTCTCCTCCAAGACCGTCTGCACAAACTGGTCCAACCCCAGCAAAGGGGCACCTGCATCACAAAGACGAGAGATCCATAATGGTTCCGCAACGAAACACATCCGCACTAACAGAAGTACCTCTGCTGATGCGCCTGAGCCGTCTCGCGACCTGCTCGCGGCTTAGGTACACTTCACCGCGGCTCAGCCTGCACACATCCATGGACACCCAGACTCATCCATGTCACGCACCAAGCATCCTGGTCTTCCTTGTCTTTTGCGCCTACGTCGTCCAGACGGCAGCCATGGCGTTGGCAGAGATGGGCATTCTCGACACCTCAGCATTCAGCAGCCGTCTGAAGGGCGATGTGGACGGCACCGACCTTCCCTCCGCCGTCGCATCCGTCTGGGACTCCCCACCGTCATCCTCCCAGAACGGCCACAAGAAGGGGAACAACGGCCCCCTGTCCTTCGTCTTTGCGTCCATCTCGGAGGTCTCGAGCAGCTGCTGCCGCCGCTTTTCCTCCTCCGGGCTGTCGAGGATGCCGCCCATCTCCTCGGCCCACTGGCTTTGCTCGGTTTCCTGGGCGTGTGTGCCTTTCGCCATCGCCTGCTGCAGATTGCGCCGCCTCGATGCCAGCTGCAGGACGGCGTCCGGTGCGATGATGTCGCCATCAATGTCAACTGGCCATTTGACTGACAAGTGACACACACCACAAAGGAATGACGGAAAAGATATCTATCGAGCACAAGTGGCTCGACTCGCCTACATGCAAGTGGCGGGAGCCTCGCGAAGAAGTTCTGTCGGGTGATGCCCTCATCGCCCACTCGATAGAGCAGATGCCACCGTGAGTGCGGTCTCTTGCCATCAGGCCAGTCCACCATAGGAGCTGCGCAGACAATCCTGTCGTCCGTCTGTCTGCTCTCTCTTGCTTGCTTCTTACCGATGCCGGTGCTGTATGGTTCGAATCTACCCTGGAGGTCTTCAGGTGCGTATCGGGCCGTCAGCAGCGCTTGGGTGGAGATGCGGTGCTCATGCTCGGCCTGAGGGATGGATGGACAGACGAGAAGCAACGGAGGGCAGGCCAAACTTGCCTCTTGTTCAGTACTCACCAGTCGGCCGAAGATCTTCACCAAATCCAGAAGCTGGCAAAGCCATGACACAGAGGACAGTGCACAGGTGCCTCCTTCCCGTGATGCGGTACGTACCTTGTATTCGGGAGCAGCGGCAGCGAAGCACGTCGGCCCTCGCCGCCGCCTCTGTGGCCCGTTGCAGAAGCCAAGCAGTGGTCTCAGCTTTTGCTCGGCAGCCAGTGACAGACGCGCACCCAGAAAGCAGCACATAGACGCCACAAAGAATGAATGCGCAGCACCATGTGTCGATGTGAAAGCCATCAAAGAATCAAAACATCTTCCTCGACGTGCAATGACCACCACGTGGACAACTGACGATAGATTCCGTGGGGGGGAGAGGAGGGGGTGAAACGTCTAAGCTCGCATTTTGCCGATCGCTGCGCGGGAGGCTTTCTCCATTGCAAGGGGGCCGGGCGGCGGCTGACGTGCCCAGCTAATCCCTAATTATGCGTAGGGTTTGCGAAATTGGTGGATGCGCGTGTGCAGCAGTGCGTGGCAGACAGACAGACACACTCACACACAGGCTCACGTCCACAGGGGTCCACGCGCAGAGAGGGAGGGGGGGAAGGCCTGTATGTGCAGTGTGCGTGCGTGTGTGTGCCGTGTGTGTGTGTGTGAGGGTGCGTGTCATCCCGTGACTCATCCATAATTCGAATTGCATGACGGTCACAAATTCGAAGCAGGGACGTACGGTCAGATCTGGTGCGTGCGAGATAAAAAGCGTCTCTCATTCAACTCAACATGCTCAGAATCCCCTGAAGCGTCTACCATGCAATTGATGCCACATTGCCACCAGTTCGTACAGGGCACACGCTTCTCAAACTTTCGCAACGAGGCGCATGCAAGGGTCAGATGCGCAGCAAGACACACACGACCTACTTCGTTCTCGACATATATGACACCTATTTGTGTTGTACCTGCCTGCACCTGCATCGAGGATGCTCATAGTCAGTCCAGTCAGTCACCTTCAATGCACACGTAAACACATGCATACCCACACAAGGCAGGCAGGCAACATGCTCCTGTCTTTCCGACAGCCATGCCATGCACCCATCCCATCCCACCCACCCCTTTGTGCTATGAAACTTCCACTCAGTCAGGTCGGCTGTGACATGAATGGGCTGGTGGCCCAGCGGGCCACCGCATCCACCGACCCCGTAAACACCACCTCGGTGTTGCACTGCTCGCACTGGTATCCCTCGGGTCGCAATGGCAGCGGCTCCTCGTCTCGCTTGATGCGCTCCTTGTTCTCCTCAGCCCGCCGGGCATTCTCGGCCTTGATGCGGGGGAGGCTCTGCTGCCATGCATTCTTGCGGTCAGCGTAGCACTTGGTGCAGGTGTGCATGTGTCTGCAGGGGATGTACATGACGGACGCAGGGCCGTGCTCGCCGAAACAAATGAGACAGTCTACCGTTCCCGCAGCCACACTGCTTCTGCTGGCAGCACTTCTCTCGAGCTGCACGGCATGAGACCGCCCGTCCCTGAATCAGCACAGCGATAGACAAACAACATAACGACATCCAACAGTCTCTGTCTGTCTGTCTGCCTGTCTGGCTAGTGCGTACCGTGGGCGGCGGTGCGGTGCAGATGGTGTCGTCTCGCTGCACACCGAAGACACGAGTGGCGGGGAGCTCACCGGTGAGGACGCCTGACGAGCATCACACGAGACCTGACGCGGGACGGGCGGAGGGGGCGGGGGTGTGGGTGTGGGTGTGGGTGGCCGCTGAGCTGTCGAGCTGCTGACCACCTCCTCCGTCCACGACAGCAAGGGATTGGGAGGGAACGCGCCTGGTGGTGGTGGTATAGTTGCTGGCAGCCCCAGGCCCCTCCCAGCGGCCCTCCTCCTTGTTGTCGTACCATTGGTCACTGCCGGCGTGGTATGGCGTGGCGCCTGGTCGGCCGTCAAGGTGGCACTGCTGATACCGCCACGCGCGTGGTTTCCGCCACCTTTCCTCATTGCTGCAGAGCTGCTGGGCGGCTTCAAGGGGTGGGGCATCTGATGTGCGGGCACCGTCTGCCGAGATGCCTCGGGGGTCTCCTGGCCAGCCTTTTGTCGTGAAGATGCGTCCTCCCTGCTCGACCCCGTTCCTGTGGCCTTCTTCTTTCGGTGTCTCGCCCCCGCCTGAGTCCACTGGCCGCCACCATCTGCTGTCGCCACCTCCCGCTGCTGACGCTCCTGGTCCTGCTGATGAGAACCAGCCGATGCGCCCACTTCATCTGCAGGGCTGGTGGGCGTCAGGCAGTCGCTGCTGCCGCTGGGTGTGACAGTGGAAGAAGTACTCCCATCGACATCAGCTGCAGCAGACGCTGGTGCTCCTTTGACCTCGTCTTGACGGCTGGCTCCTTTCTCTTTGGGTTTCTTCCTCTTGCTTTGCTGTCTCGCTGGGACAGGGGCTGCTGACAGGGGCTGGTTGGCTGCCGTGTGGTGAGTCCCCGGCTGTCTGTTGGCCGCCTGTGCCTGGCCCTGGTGGTCGCTGTTTCCCTTCGCCTGTTTTCTTTGACGAGGAAGCTCCGCTGCTGCTTGATCCGCTTGCCGTTCGTCCTGGCGCAGCTGGCGACGCTGCAGCCAGGGATGGGCAACGAAGCACCACAGCCCTGACAGGGCCACCACAAAAAGGAACATGCCGCCTCCAACCCAGGGTGGTGACGTCGAGAGAGAGGACGGCTGCAGGCAAGAGAGAAAGGGAGAGACATTCATGGAGACATTCATGGAGACGCTTCACAGCGCGTATGTGTCGTACCCTTCCGTCGTCTCTTGGCAGGGGATGTAGCCTCGTCGCGTGGTTGGACAGTGCACGCATAAGCTCCTTGGCCGCAGCAGCAAAACGAGGTCCGGAGCTCTTGGTAAGGCTCTCGATCGTCCGATGGCATCCTTCCTACAGTCGCAAGCAGAACAGACAAAAGAAGCTCTCTGCTCCATGAGTGCATGGGCGAGCGAATGAGCCCTCACCCTGCTGAATATGATATCGGCAATTTCTTCGCCCAAGACAGCATCGTTCCTGATCGACACACCATGCCACCAATCATAATGACAGTGACAGTGAGAACCAGCGCTCTGCTGCATACCGGAGTATCTCATTAAGCGACGTGAGCATCGTGAGAACAACAGGATCGTGCGCATCGCGCCGGGGGCAAAGTCCACATACTTGGTCAGGGCATAAATTGTCCACCGCATATCTACGCTGCACAAACAAGAGGATCCAGGAACCAACAAAATACCCTTGTTAACCTGGCTGAAATGTCCGGCATACCTGTTGCTCGTTTCCCTCTGATAGAAGCGAGCTGCACGTGGCCCAAATCAGGATCGAGTAAGACACATCAATAAGACCCTCAGCATAAACCAAGGAGCCATCAACTTCGGCACGTTTGAGGGCGTTGAAAGCGTTGGGCAACACATTAGTGTCAACTATCTCCTGAAGACTGACGGTGCCCCCTTCCTGCTTCCTCTCGCTCCCGCATACACCTGGCAGCACCGTGAGAAGGACAATAAGGATCGTGGAGGCGGCTGTCCTCCTGAGATCCGGGTTCGTTGACAACAGGGAGGGCGAGAGCTTCGTCACCACCTCATGCTTGACTAAAACTTCGGCCACACCGAGTTGCACATCTGGACAGTGGCGATGCCGGGACTGGTGCATCCAAATACCGGAGAAGGCGAGCATCGACATTGCGGTCATCTTGATGCTCTCATGGTCATGATCCAGCAGCTGAATGACCGTCGGTAAGACGTTAGATGTCTCGAGCACTGCTCCTTCCACCCACTGCAGATGATCCACGACGACAGCCAAGCGGCTCGCGATGTCTCGGATGTCGATTTCTGGCAGTCCCTTAGTGCGCCTGAGGGTTTCAATGAGGGACGGAAGGGCACCAGCTCTGACAGACAGACAGACAGACAGACAGACAGACCGACAATTGATGTGAGTGAGCCTCCAGCTTCATGTCAATCAGCCACTCACTCACTCACTCACTCACCCCGCGAGAGCATCGGTGGCCTGGTCGCCGGTCTCTGCCATCTGCTGCAAGACTGTCGCCGCCTCAAGTTGAACAGATCGGTCCACCCGAAAGTCTCTCATGAGGGCGAAAAGGGCCGGCCGGAAGAGCTCAACCAATCCAGCAGCGTCACTTGCAGGGTCAACGCTGCTGGCGAGCATGACAGATATCGCCCACAACGCGTCAAGCTGCTGGTCCATGTCGTTGCTCTGCAGCTTCCTCGAATAGTGAGCACCCAGCATCCACTGGCTCCAGCTCTCTGGGGACCGGTCACGGATTTCGTTCGCCAGCTGCAGCGCGTCGTCTTGTACCAACGGATCAGCTGAGCGGGGAATGGCTGCGGTCATCTCTGCCACGAACAATGCCCAACAGCCGAGTGATGTAGCTGACGTCATCGCTGAGCGGTACGGTGATGCAATCATGGCTCTGCCTTAGTGACCTATTTGGTGCCTGCTGCGGTTCAAAGTGCGTGGCTGCGGTTCAATGATGCGCGGGAGAATGACTGCCGCCAAATGTATATCATGGGAAGTCCAACAGCAAGTATCATGGGAAGTCCAACAACAAAAAATCGTTTGGTCAGGGTTCGGGTTGCAGGGTTCTCGACTTGGGCTTCTTTCTCTTCCCCCTCACCCAATTTTGACATTTTCCTCTTCCCGCAATGGCCCAGTCTCCCCAGGCAGGCGCCCCTGACGTCGCCCCGGACTCTGAGGTTGTTCGTCGGCCGGATGATGCCGAGGCTGAGGGTGGTGAGGCCTCGCCGACGAAGAAGTGGCTTGAGTGGCTCAAGGTGTCCCTTCTGCTGGTCGTACTCGTGGGGGCCCTATATCTCTTCCTCATCGCGCTCAAACTGATGGGAGAGAGGTCCGTCTGTGACGCCCCGTCATGTCGAGGCATGGATTTCTGCATATGGTTCTGTCCCTCCCGGCTGCAGCTTCAAGACCATTGGCAGCTGTGGGATGGGCCAATTCTTCAGCGAACTTCAGAACCCAATCTCTGGCCTCACAGCTGGTACGCATCTCTTGGAATGAACTACTAGGGTTGAACCCCTCTCCTTTCCGCCTGACTCTTCATGGATGCATCAGGAATACTGGCCACGGTGACCCTGCAGAGCAGCAGCACGACAACATCCATCGTCGTGTCGCTGGTCGGCTCCGGGCTTCTGAGCGTCCACATCGCAATCCCCGTCATCATGGGAGCCAAGTAAGCACACTAAGACGGGTACACATTCAATCCTCTGTCTCTCTGCACGTGACGCCCTCTCATGCAGCATCGGTACGTCGGTGACGAACACCATTGTGAGTCTAGGGCAGATACATCAGCTTGGGGAGTTTAAGCGGGCCTTCGCGGGGGCCACGGTATGTCACACAGATACACACAGAGAGAGAGAGAGAGAATGTGTCATGAGCGTGTCTCGCTCACTGCACGCGCATGCATGATTGTAGGTACATGACTGTTTTAATTTGCTTTCTGTGGCGGTCTTGCTACCGGTGGAGATAGTCTCAGGAGTCTTGGAACACCTCAGTGATGCAATTAAGGATAGCATGGAGCTCACATCGGTATGGATGCATTGGTCAATTTATGCATGGAGCAGGCGAGAAGTGGATGTCTCTGTGTGTGTCTGGTCGTTCCGCTCCACAACATCAGGGCGAAAAGTGGGAAGGTCCGTTTGACAAGATCGTCAAAATGGTGACGAAGCACATTCTGGTGGCCGACAAGAAAGTGATCAAGGGTGTGGCCAGCGGCACCTTGGGCTGCTCCACGCGCAACGTCACTAGCCCGGCCTATGTCGACCACCTCATACTCGAGGGCCTGGCCTGGCAGGCAGGGAGACGCATACGACAGACACACAACATACACTTGCTGCACACCTCACCCCCTCCCTTCATGTGCTCAGAAAGTGCATACGCCTGAGATTGACGGGGAGCTGGGCCCCACTGAGACCGGCGACCACTGGGCGGATGGCGAGTTCCGATACGGGGTATTCACGCCGTCGTCAGTCTGGTGCTGTTGCTCGTGGCTCTCACAGTGATGGTGACTATACATGTGAGCAAAAGTCGATGAACTCCCTGTCACTGGCCTGCAGGTGAAGGTGCTTCGCTACCTCCTGATCGGCACCATTAAGGAGACGTTTGAGCGCGTGGTCTATCAGACCTATCCGGGACACGGTGGGTGAGGCTCCAGCCCAGCCACTCTCCATCTGCCATCTGTCCCTTTGTGTACGTGTGTGTAGGTTATGTGGCCATGTTGATCGGCTGCGGTTTGACGATTCTCGTGCAGTCAAGCTCGATCACGACATCTGTCTTGACGCCGCTTGTGGGCCTGGGTGGGATCGACCTCCACCACATGTACCCCCTCACACTCGGCGCAAACGTGAGCGAGCCGAGTTCCTCACACACGAAGGCCGTCACACGTTCATTTCCCTATCACTCCTTACGTGCAGATTGGGACGACGGTGACCTCTGTGATGGCGGCGTTAGTGTCAGACAAGCCCGAGGGCATGCAGATCGCCATGTGCCACCTCTTCTTTAACATATTCGGCATCCTCATTTGGTACCCCATACCCATGATGCGCCGTGTGCCGCTCCGCATGGCCACTGCCCTCGGCCAAATCACGGCTGACTTCCGCTGGTTCCCAATCGCCTACATAGTCACTGTAAGCGAGTCAGGATACATACAAGAGACGACATGTGTATAGATGCATGCACGCGTTGTATGCAGGTTTTCTTCCTGATTCCATTCGCCCTTTTCGGGCTGTGCCAAATGTTCGAGGAGGAGAACGGACAGCCTGGCCTCACGATTGGTGGCAGCATCATTGTGGCCATCATCGGATTGGCCATCATCTTCTTCGTCGTGTGGCTGAAGCTTTTGAACGGAGACAAGGTCATCGCCCAATACGCAGAGCAGCTGCGCAAGAAGCAAAACAAGTGAGCCAGGGAGGGAGATACGCAACAACACCGTGTTATGATTGCCAACCATGTCCTGCGTTCTCTTCCTTTGTGTCTGACGTTGCATCGCGTCAGGCTGATCGCCAAGCTCTCGTCGGAACTCAGCAAGACCGAACAGAACCAGTTCGAAGAGGACTTCAGTGAGCATCGGCTAGCATCGATCATGAGACACAAGAGAGAGACACAGAGAGAAGCTTGCCCTCTGTCTTTGCCCGCTTGCAGCTGGTCGCGGTGAAGGTGAATTTTTCCATCATGCCAGCTCCGTGTCACTGGGAATTCAGCCAGATGCGGTCAACGTAGTCGTCCAGGATGCAGCTGCTGCACCAGAGAGCGACAAGCACGCCGCGGCAGCTGGAGATGTGGCTGCTGCAGGCATAGGCGGCGGCGAGCGTCCGAGCATGGCCACCACACATGACGCCCAACGAGATAGCGACCGCTTCATGGCTGTGCCCACCAACGAGTGACTGAGCAGCGTGTGTCGACGCACACACACGTTGCTCTTTTCTAGGAGGCTTTTGGTTAGGCATTAGGCAACGTTGGGCAGTGCTGCGTGAGAGGGTGCACTCTGGCGGGCCAGGCTGTCTGTCTGTTTGTCTGATATCCACCTGCGGGCACACATGGATGGGAAGGAAGGAGGTTAGTCAGCTCCACAACAGTTTTCCACACACACGTTTTTGGCTGATTCCATAAGGTGGGATGAATTTTGTTGGGATAGTAGATGTGCTGTGCTTCCTTGATTGACGTCGTGTAGGTTATGTGCATCAAGATCTTAGTCAGTGCTTACTGGCTGCATTGACATTGACGGGTGCTGGCACGATGCCACAGACAGGCAGCCGGACAGATCTGACGCGCTCCTTCATGCATATGACAGGCAGAGACGTGCCGGCAGGCAGGTGAATACATCATCACAGAGCCCACATATACTTACATAAGACCTCACAGGGCTCTGTGAGCATTTGAGGCAGATGAATCTCGCCTCTGATAGCACACCCAACTGATTCATCTTCTCATAGATCCCGTGGACGAGGTCGAGGACGGACACAGATGCTGTACCATATGACGTAAGCCGTCGAGTCAGCAACCGACATGCAGACAGACAGACAGACAATTCAAGGAAACGACCACTCATTCCCTTCCCGTCTGTGTGTCTCTGCAGCTGGTTGTTTGGCGTGTCTGCGCATGCCAGATCGAGTGAAGAGCTCTCATCTGCTGCTGCCTGTCATGGCTCTCCAGCTGCCTCAGCACCACACTGGGGTGGGCTTTCGGACGGGCGCCACTTACGCCTATCGACAGAAAGGCCAACAACACAGCCGACAGCATCCCGGGGAAGCAGAGACGAATCACAGAGTACAGTGCGAGCTGCAGCCGTTATTCAAACCCTTTGCGGCGGATATCCTTGAGGCACACAGGTGAGCCAAGAGGGAGGAAACAGCCAGGACACTCAGATGAGCGAGATGTGTAGATACAGCATGGACAGTGAATGCATTTGTCGTCATCCATGTCCATCTGTGCAGCCATAGATGGTGTTGGGGCGGCGCCGGTCCGCTTGTTTGGTAGATGATTGACGTGGTCAGGCGATGAGTGAGTCGGCGTCGAAGCGACAGAGGCGGGCAGAGCGAGAGGAGGACGATGCACACGAGGAGGCCATGATGGACACCGACGGCCCGCAGCACCAGCAGCAGGCGACGGCATCGCACGCCACCCACAGCATAGGTCTGCAGGCCTTTGCTCAACACTTCAGCCACATCGTAAGCTGAGATGCACCAAACCAAACCACTGGCAAACACACACATCCTCATTGTCTCCTCTCTCTGTGTCTGTGTGGTGTGTGTTGTCAGAGAAACACTCAGCCGGTTGTTGTTGCCTACGTCTTCTCGTTCGTGTCGCTTCATTTGGTGGCGGCGCTGCCCCAGCGGCTGTGGCGCCACGTCGGCTGCCAGATCACCCAGCTGGTCATGGACACCTACGACACCGCCGAGCGGCGCTTCTGGTGCGGCCTCTCATTCGCTGACGCCTTCGAGTGGGGCCGGCAGCTCACACGGCTCAAGTCAATCGTCGTCAAGCATCCCCGTAACCTCTTCATCTCAAGAGGGCCGCCCGCTTTTATTGACTACATCCCTCTGTCGCCGGTTATCCACAAGGTCGTCACGGCATCGGTGGAGGGCCACAGTGAGGGGCGGAGAGCCGAGGCGGCCACAGCAGCCGGCCAACTAGGCCGGGGGACGCTTGAGTCGATCGAGTACGGCGAGAGCGGCGGATCGACCGTCATCGTCGACGAGGACGAGTATCGCGATATCCGAGCTGCGACGGAGCCGTCGGTGGCTCTCCTCTCGCGCCTCGACCCGCCCCCCACCCTTACATCCCTCACTTCCATCACGGTGCAGGGATATGAGCTCTCCTATCCCGGCCGCGGGCGCCACTGGCAGCTGCCGTCACTGGAGGCAGTCCAGTTGGGAGGGATCGTGTGTGGCGATGGGGTGTTGGAGGTGTTGGAGGGGCTGGTGGGGATGTCGCGGTGCCTCAAGGAGCTGCACGTGGAATGCCATCCTGACGTCACGGCCAACTCGCTGGCGCAGATCCCGGTGGCAGCGGCCGGCCAGCCGGGGTCGCTGTCGCAGCTGGAGGATGTCGGCACACTCAGAATGTCGAGCGCGAGCGCTAGGGGTCTAGAGCGCCTTCAGGTGTGCGACGGATTACACAAGATACACAAAATCAGAGAGAGTGGGTGAGAGTCTGTTTGCGATGTACGTGTGTCTTTGTGCAGGCCGTTCTTGTCGACCGTGGCTGCCGCTCCATCAAGAAGCTCAGCATGAAGCTCAAGGACTCCTTTATCGACAGCCACATCTTCGCGACCCTCTCGGCCATCGAGACCTTCGCCCGTGCCGTCTCTGTGAGGCCCGACATCCCCGTCGACATCAGTATCTTCGACACGAGTAACGCCTTCGACCTTTCCCTTCTGTGTGGGGTCCCCACGCGCCCGGAGCCCTCCCCCTTCGTGCAGAAACACATCCAGCAGCTGGCAGCCAAAGCCCACACAGTGTCCCCAGCCATCCTCCCCAACCACACCACCAACCCTCTGGACACGCCCAGCCCCGCTGCCATCGCCCTCGCTCAGTCCCTGACATTCCTCAAAGCGGAGAGGGTGGAGGTCATGCGATCACAAGTGGGTCTGGATGCTGACCCACTTGTGATCGACAGCATGCCAAACAACGCATTCCCCGCCGCGTCGTCCCTCTCCATCCACGACAGCAACGGGCACGTGATTGCTCGCAAGCTGCTGACCAAGATGCCGGCTGTCAAACGCATTGAGCTGTGGCACTCGACAGAGGAGCAAGCAGTGGGGGTGTTGCAGGCGGTTGGTGGGGAGAGGGAGTTGGAGTGTTTCGAGGCCACAAGCGTGACGGATGTGGGTGAGGGGGGGCTGACGTGGGGGGACATGGCGGATCAGCTGCCGACCATCACAGTACTGGATAGTAGTGTAGAGGGTGAGCTGCAGACAATCGCCTCCTCACAGACAACCAATCGGCAGCTCTCGCTCGCCAACCCATTGGATGTTATGTCTGTCTGTCTGTCTGCAGTTCCTCGGGATTTGGGCGATGGCGATGCCCTGGCGAGTTCGGCATCGCCTGCGTCAGGTCGCTGCTCACGATCCGAGGCATCAAGGAGCTCCACTTCTCGCTGTTGCGGCCAGTTGGAGGTCAGAGCTTTAGGCGGCTGGTGGAGGAGCGGACCCACGGCGACGCCATTGAAGGCGTTGACGGCCGGTTTCGCATCAGTTGGGGGGGACTTCCCGGGCGGCGTCCGAATACGCTCACTCTCAAAGCACTCGACACCTAACAAGGAGGACAGGTACGGTTTGTGTCTCCTCCGTCGATGGGCTTGTCCACCGGTGCTGCATGTATGCTGTGTGTGGGGTCCCATTCTTGTCTGTCAGGTCGGTCGCCCCACTCTTGCCAAGGGAGGATGCGTGGAGTGTAGGATTGTGCAGGCCTAGGGGATGGCAGAGGGCTGTCGTGACGGAGGGATGCTCTCATGGCTGGCTGGCCGGGGTGGACTGACCCAATCATGCGTTAGTGTAGTGTTTCGTGACTGCCTGCCTGCTGGACTTGTACAGATCAGGGAACGAGAAAAGCATCAAAACGCGTCAGCTATACCTCGATGTGATCCGTTTCTTCGACCGATGACGTTTCGTGAACACAATGAACACAGCAATAGATTCATGAATCCGCGCTCACAGGCGTACGTCACTCCACACATCTGCACAGACAGACAGACAGCTATCATCGTCTGCCACCCTCATAAATGCAGCCAGCCAGCCAAGCCATGCACGCATGCAGCGAGTTGGCGAGTGAGCAGAGCGCCGTTTCCTTCGGGCTGTGAGCGGACCGCAACGGGCCTTCTGCCCCCCAGCCGTCACTCGAACAGCACTCATGCACTCACTCATCAACTTGCGGTCATGCATATTGCGATGACACTCCCCCGCAATTGAATTGCCCGGATACATATCAACATCTCCCCCGATGCCCCTTGGTTGAATTGTACACGGAAAAACACAAGTCAGAGCGGACGGATGTCCGTACGTATGCACGGACATCGGTCGCCGAAGGCCCATGTGTGCGACTGACACATGGCTGCCTCCGCGTCTACCGCCGTCATCCACCACCCCTCATGCCAGGTCCCTTGCGCTGCGGCCGGTAACCTGGCATAGACTTGTCGAAGAAGGGGCTGTCCAGGCCAGGGCCGTAGTGTTCCGCCTTGTCCATCGTGTGCCGGTGCTCAGCCGTGATGCCCTTGTCACGCTCCTTGGCCTCCTGCTCCATGCGCTGAAAGAGAGAAAAGGGAAGATGCACGGTAGATAGACCCTAGAGGCGGGCTGCTGGCTGCCTGGGTCACCCACCTACCTCGTATTCCACCGTGTGTTTGAAGTGGTCGGCCTCCTCCTCCAGACGAGCCAACTGGCGAAGCCTGCAGCAGGGGAGAACATGACGTCACACACGAATGAGGGCTGCATGGATGGATGGATGCTCTTCATCTGTTGTACCGTGCTTGTTCCCTCTTCCGGTCCAGCTGTTCGTCCCGCTTCCTCTGACGGGACTGCTTGAACCGATACCTGAAAACACATATAAGGGCAGAGCAGTGCAGTAAGAGAGTGAGCATCAGCATCAGCATCAGCAGCAGCAGCGGAGTGTTGCTTCTTACCACAGCGATAGCACAGCGGCAGCGACGAGGATGGTGGCAGCGGCAGCCAGGAGGAAGTACAGCCGGTCCAGCGGGATGGTCTTGCCGTCGCCCGACACCTCCTCTCCCTCGATGGCGACGTGAGGCTGGTCGGCAGCCGGTGCGCCGTGCTCCGGCTCTGACGGCCAAAACTCATCGACTGCATCTGGCATCGCCATTCGGTACTGATACTGATAACGAGTGCCAAATACTCCCGCTCGGCAGACCCCACTTGCGCCTTCTAAAAGGCCGCCTAGGGTGCTCCCTGAAATCGCTGCTGCCGAAAAGGTGCGTCCTCTTCACATCCCTCCGTCGTTCTCTGTTGAGCTTCCCGTCTTCTCCATTGCCTGCTCTATGTCCTTTTGCTGTTGATCTGCCGAATCCGTCTTGTGCAGCTGCGATGAGTGTTCACTCGGCCAATGCGTTCACCGCCCTGCAGCGGCTCTTCAACCAACAGCTGAGGCAGTGGTACCTGCACCGGGCAGAGATGACCCAGTTCTACCTGTGGGACCCTCCTGGGCTCCTGTTTGGAAGAGACGGGTACGCACACTGATGGATGGTGGGATGTTCTGCATTGCACTGCACTGGCAAATGTGGCTCTGTGTGTGTTTGGTTCAGATCTGGGATGGCTCCGGCACTTGAGCAGTGGTATTTCCGCGAGGGCGAGGAGTGCTATCTGGACATCGGGTGTGGGGACGCCGAGTTCGCGCTGCACCACGCCCTGCACAACCCCGACCAGAACTGGATTGCCATCGACAACGACTACAGGAGAGTCTTCAATGCACTGCACAAATGCTGCAGGTAGACACACGCAGCCAGCGGGATATTGGCGTGCACACATGTGTGTGTTCGGTCGCTCCATCGGTCTGGTCAGGGCGTTCCAGGTGCACCCCGACGCCCTTGTGCGGTTCCCCAATGTGCGGATCCTCTGTGCAGATGCCTTCTGCCTGCACAGGCTGATCCCCGAGAAGCTCGTGAGGGCTGCGTACGTCAACTACCCCTCCACCGACAAGGAGACGGAGCGGACGCGCCACCCGCTGCGCACCCTGCAGTCTCGCCTGATCCGCACCAAGTTCCTCAAGTCGCTGGCGGCCACCATGATGGACAACGCCGAGCTGCACATCGTGACGGACAGCGAGTTCCTCACCTACGACGTCCTGTCGACCATCCGGCGGCAGTCGCCCCCCCTGTTCTACAGCTGCCTCCCCTACCCCCACTACGCCACCCAGCTGGACCCCTCCTACGGGCTGCCCATCAAGGGCCGCGACACAAAGCAGTTCTTCAACGCCAACACCTTCAGGTACCGAGACCGCCGCATTGCCATCCACGAGACGGACCGGTCGGCTGACGAGAAGGTGCGTGAGGCCGACGAGCGGATCGCCGATGGGGATCGACTGCAGGAGCTGAATCTGACTGACGAGGAGGCGGCTGAGCTGGCGAGGCTAAGGAGGGTCACCATGTGGGACTACACTGAGGAGGAGCTCAAGGCCAAGGAGGCCGCCAAACAGAAGAGATTGAAGGAACAAGAAGACGAGGCAGCCGCCAACAGAGACGGCACCACCACTGACAGCAAGGAGAAGGGTTTCTATCTGCCGCAGCTTATCGCCGCCCCGCCCCTCCCCAACGACTCGTCGCGCATTCTCTTGCACCAGCACCAGTTCATGCGCTACTACGGCTCCTACCATGACGGCTTTGCCGCTGGCCCGCCGCCCTCTATCTTCGACTCGCTCAAGGTGGTCCGAGCGCACGAGATGGAGCGAGTGGATGGCGCCAAGAGGGATCTCGCACTGCCGTCTGTCGAGGAAGTGGCCAAGCGGCTGCAGGCGCGCATCGAGTGCGACATCGACGAGGAGGAGGCCATGCAGGAAGAAGGGCCAAAGGTGTTCTACATGAAGTTCGGCCGGCTGCCGGATGTCTTGCCGAATGCGGGGCTGAGGAAGGCGGTTGTGAGTGGGGGGCACAGAGACGTCATGCGCAGACAGCAGATCGATATGTAGTGCAGTGCAGTAGGTGTACAAAGGAAGGGAGGGATGTGTGTGTGTGTGTGTGTGGATGGGGCCGTCTCTGATCGTGAGACAACGACAGACAGAATTCTACTCTTATTGAACTGTGTTCAGTTGCTTGACAAATGGCACCGAGCAGCCATGTCATTAGTCCAAGGTCACGCCACACACCACACGCACACAGAGACACCATCAACAATCCAGTACAGTGTTCACACATTCATGACCCCTCCCTGCAACAGTTCGCTTTGGTCGACTTCCATAATCACTGTCGCCGTCACGGCCACATCCGTCTCCACACGCACCCTGTTCCCGTCGGCAGGCCTCGATGCATGACGCACAAAAACACCGTCCCCCTCAATCTCCATCGAATACATGACACGAGCAATCGACGGGGATACCAGCACATCACTGAAATCGAAGAGCCATTCGGTCGCATTCTCTTTGTGCAGCTGCCGCACTGCTCTTGTGGTTTTCAGCTTAGCCGAGCGGCCGATGGTGGACGCGCCGACGAATGTGTCGACGACTTTCGTGAAGTTGCCCTCAACTCGCACCGTGTCTCTATCGGTGTATGAGAACTGGTTGTCCCTCACGAGCAGGCCCTTGCATGTCGGCTCGCTGCCGTGGGCTCTGAGGATGATCTGGGCGCCGCCCAGGAAGAAGCCGCCAGTGATGGTCACTGCATTCGGATTCTGCACGATAATACTGTTGAAGTCGGGGTATGAGTCCAGGATGCGTGTCGAGTAGCCCGTGACCAACATGGCCGTCCCGCTGCCATTCCAACTGTGTACGCCTGTATGGGTGTTGGCGCCTGCGCGGTCTTCCACGCCAATTTTAGCGCTGAAGATCACCACATCTCTCAACACGTGGTCGTTGCCGAGCAGCCGAATCGCGGCGGCCGTCTGCTGTGATGGCTTCCGCGGATCGCCGAAGAAGAACTGACCCAGCTATGACTCAAAGATGTTGATCTGAACACATGAGACACGAGCTGAATATCCTGTGTGTCCGTCTGTATGCGGTGTCGCCTACCTCGTGACCGCCCTCAATCAGAACTCCCGCATCGTGAAAGCCGATGAAGAGGTTGGCAGGGCCAACCACTGCCCCAATTGTGTGCGTGAACCGCAGCACGCCGCTCGCTGTATCCCTTCCGTCGACATAGAGGTCCGAGAATGACATGAACTGATTGCGGTCGCCAATCTGTAGGCGCCTCGCCTGCGTCGCAGTCTCGGTGTCGAAGTGTGGCGCAGGCGAGGCGCCTACAGTGATGATGAAGCCGTCGGCAGGGAAGCTCTCGGACGCCACGATGCTGCCATCCCTCCAGTGCTGAAAGCAAACACACGCACTCCCTTTGCTTGTATGCCATCATTCAGCATGTATCTATGTGTGTGGTCCACTCCTCTTGCGCACCATGTTGCCATAGCCACCCGGGATATATAGCGGCCGGGAGATGAGATAGATTCCACCGTCGAGCGTCAGTGTCGCGCCACCAAGGTCTTTAATGCCCTCTGCCAAGTGACGGCCGTTCCACAGTGGCAGCGCCGCATCGATGGCTCTCTCAAACGCAGCACTGCTGTCGTTCTTGCCTGTCGGGTCGCCCCCAAAATCACTGATGGGCAGCACTCCAGACGGCGTTTTCAAATACGGCAGGAAATCGATGCGCTCTGGCGAGTATCTGGGCCGGGGCGGAATAAGAGCCCTGCCATACACTCTGGCATACACATCGTTCAGCACCGTGGCGAGAGGCGGCGCATTAGAGGGCTCGGTTGTTTGGGGGAAGTGTTGAACGTATCGTGTTGGTACCAGCTCGTGGAAGGACAGGTTATGCCGATGGAGGTGCTTCAGGGGAAGACGTGCCGTCGCTGATGCGAGCAGAGCAAAAAGGAGAAGAGAAGAGGGGGAGGGAAGGGCCATTTTTTTGCGTCGAGATATGGAGACGAGGAGACGGCGAGCTTTTTTTTTTTGCAGTTTTCCGAAGCACTACAAAACCGTGATGGTGAGCCGCTTCTACGTCGACCTGGGGATGCTCCCCTTTCAAGAGGCTGCCTATGTTCGCCCTCATCCCTCGCCTCACACAGCCACCGCCGCCCTCGAGGGCAATGCAGCCGCGTCTGGATGGCGTTGTCGACTAATGCCCTGCTCGCGAGGCCACAGGTAGGCCAAGGCAGATAAGACGGGACACCCCGACAATTCATTCAAGGACTGCACCCCCTTCCTTTCGAAGCATCAACTCATGCATGCATGCATTCTGTGTTCCTTTGGCTCTACTGCAGGCTTCACGACGCCTGAGCTGCTGCCGGTGCCGCCGTCGCTGGTGCCGTCGCCCTGCCAGTCTCCTTCCCTCGTCATCCGGCTCCCTCCGCCCCTCCACCCCCGAGCATCCTCGACCCCGTCCCTCCACTCGCAGACAGGCACCCCTGTCACACCGCTGGGACAGGTGCAGCGGCAGCTGGGCGAACTCAGCCCTCTCACCCTCCCCCGGCGCGGTCTCTCCCCCGCCTCGAGCATCAGCAGCAAGGCGGGCGGGTGGGCGACTCGAATGCTGGTTGGCACACACACATCCACATGTGTGTGTTGATCGCTTTGTCCGCCTTCTCTCTCTTTGTGTCGTGCAGGTGACTTGGTGTTGGTCGTGGCAAGGCCGCCAGCAACAACAAGAGGGCGGCGGACACTGAGCCCGACGAGGAAAGGCGCGAAAGAAGAACTACCAGGCGGGCGCCGGCAAGAAGCGGCCGAGGGTGACGGCAGCTGTCGAGGTAAGCTACCGACCACACACCATTGACACACAAGGGCACCGCATCCACCCTTTTGTGTTTGCCGCTGTCCATGTGTGGTGACTTGCCTTCATCAGGCTGAGGAGCGGCGGGGCGAACAGTCCTTCCAGGATTGGAAGCAGCAACAACCACTTGTGGCCACACGGGTCCTGGCCAGAATGTGTCTGGTGTGAAGCTCGAGCACCGGGCGACCCCTAAGTGGCAATTCCTGCCGCCCGGGGAGCGTGTGGGGGGGTTGAAGCTCACGGCGGATGCGGAGGATGAGGAGATCGATGCCGACGCCTCAAAGGGTCAGCCGCCACACACACAACAGACACACGGTGCTTGCGCCTCTCTCTCACGTGTGTCTGTGTGTGTGTGTGATGTGTGCAACGCAGCTGCGGGGGCCGGTGCGGCCGTGACGACCACGCGCAAGGCCAACAGCAACGCCTTCGACGTGAAGGATGTGGCGGGCGTGGTCCTCGACAAGTGGCTCAAGTATGCCACATCCACACCACACACACATGGACAGATGGCTATACGGATGCCTTATTGTTGTTGCCGTGGTGTGTGCGGCGCCCCACATCCCCACCGGCCAGCAGACCACCCTGCCTGCTGCCGACGCACCGGTACCACACGCGGAGCAAGACGCGCAAAGTGTCCTGATCGAAGGTGCAAGCAGAAGCAAGGAGAGCAATCCGTCGATCGACGCCGCGCCCATCACCGTCGCCGTCCCACCACTGCCTGAGGAAAGCACCAGCCCGCAACAGCAAACGATCAAGTTCACACGAAAACAATCACTCAACTGAAGCAAGTGCACATAGCGACTACAGAGCTCTTGGTATGCGTGTGGTGTCTGCCGGAATGTTCGGCATCGATGCAATGGCGTCAGAGAGGTACGATAAGTCACGACTCGAATGAATGTTTGTGTTTGCGTGATCAGGTCGAGTGGATCGCGCCCCGCTTCGGCCGCCATCGTCAAAAGAGCTAAATTCTCGCCTGTTTGACGAGTTCGCGTCCAGTTGTGCGACGCCCGCATCCCCCTTCCTCAATCCCCCGTCCCCCTCGCCCCTCCCTCACAGAAAATCAACATCCGCCGGTCCGAAGCCGCCGGCAGGAGTGCTGAGGCGCCATGCCGCCCTCAGATGGCTTCCGAATAGCCAACAGGGTGGAGTTGCGGCACCAACTCCACCCTGGCACCATGCCCGTCCCCACAAACGCCATCATTGTGAGGACGGGCTATAGGGTGGCGGGGCTGTCATTCCGGGACCATAGGGAGTATTATGGGTGG